CCCAGGGGAGAGCTCTGCCGCGGCACCCCGCTGCCCAGGTCAGCTGCTCCCCAGCCCCTTCCTGGGAACACCCAGCATGGGACTGGCATGGAGTGGGGGGGGCAGCCCAGCAGTTCCCCAGCAGCAGGCAAAACTGCACCTAGGGCTAGCTCAGGCAGACTCAGCTGCCTGGTCCTGGCCCAACCCTATGCTCCCCCCTGTCCTGAGCACCCTTGGCCCCCAGCACCCCAGCCCTAGGCACCCTTGCTGCTACAGGTGGGCACAAGCAGCGGCCATCGCTGGAGGGTGAGAAGACGCCAGATGAGAGCTCCAATCTCGCCCCATTAATCACCTGAGCAGCAGCGTGGCCGGAGCACAGGGCTGGAGGCCCATGCAGGCTGGAGGTAGGAACCTGCCTCTCGGTGTGCTATCCATTCCCCAGCAAATGGGAGGTTGCTCAATTGTAATAGCGTAAAATCAAATTTCAAGCAGCAAAGCCAAATGACGTGGTTTGGAGCCCATGCAGGCACACATGTCACTGGCGGCTGGAGCAGGGTCAAGGGATGTAGCAGCAGACTCCAGCCATCCCTGGGGCAGGAATGGATGTCGGAGACAGAGCGCGACCGTGACTCATGTTTTCACAGCTAGAAATGTGTGACTGCACCAATATCCCTGAGCCTGGCTAGGAAAGGTGCTGCAGGCTTGAGCAGCAACAGGTCAGGGAGGGCAAGCTCCGGCTGCCTGCAGCAGGCTGCGCTTGTGTTTTCCAGGTCTGCAGCATGGAGGTCTCCTGCCTCAAGGCTCACGTTCAACAGCAGCAGGTCTGCACTCGCTCGCTGCCTGCCCGCCCGCCTGCCCACTCATGCCGCCCTTCCCTGCAGGACTTGTCCAGAGCCCCATTCCCAGGCAAGAAAGGATGTGCCCCTGGCGGGGCTGAACCACCCAAGCGGCCTGGACCAGCTAGCTGGAGTCCGAGGGCCCTTGCCCAGCTGCTCCCTGGTAGCATCTGGTCTCGAGGAAGAGATGGAAAAAAGGAAAGGTGGATTGTCCGGCACAGCGTCCCTGCAGACAGAGCAGGGAGGGGCGGCCCAACCCAGAACTGCCCTTAGCATCATTTACCATCCCCATCCCAGCAAGGCCCAGAGCCCCTCAGTGCTGGGTGCTGCACAGATGTGATCTCTGCCATGACGAGAATGTGCTATTTGGGGGGTGTCACATGCAGCTCAGGGCCCCAGTACACATTTGTGCCATGCCTAGTGGCATGCACACTTGCAGCGCCTTGCGCACGCTGACTATCGACACAGCCCAGCACCCCCAAACCCCTGCTAGGCACAGGGCAGGGAGCCCAGCTCACCACTGAGCGCAGCCCCCCCTCCCTGGGGAGGGCCAGCCCACGCTGCATTGAACCATCCTCTTCTCCACGCACGGCTGCCTGTGCGAGGGAAGCTCACGCCGAGCCTTCGGGTTGGTGCAGACCAGTCAGTAGTTTTTGTAGAGGCTGAACGCAACGGGGATATTAACATTAAAAGTGATTTCTCCCTGATCGATGCCCCTTTTTGTGTCAATGGGTTTAGGGAAAGCCATGCTAACCTCTCCCACCAGGCTAGGCTGCCCTCAAACCCACAGCCAGAGGTGGCTGGAGTAACAGGACTCAGGACTGCTGAAGGGAGCAGGTAGAGGACCAGCTCAGCAATTGCTTCCCAATTTCTCGCCGTGAACCTGGGCTCTTTGTCACTCTTGCTGCGAGGAAGGCACTCAGCAGTGCAGAATGTTACACTATCGCAGTGCAGACAAGCACTGGGGAAGAACAGGAGTTAGTATCATGCCATTGCAAACACAATAGTGGGATACGCATGCTGGAGTACAGCCTGACAGATAACAACAAAAATCTCACAGTCCACCAATGCTGATAAAACAGGAATAACTGGATCCCTGTCTAGGCACTGCCCTTCTAAGGAAACACACAGCAATTGAAAGGAGGCCAGAGGAAAGCAAGGGCTGGAAAACAACCTACCCCAAAGGCTGAAGGAAACAGGGTCGCTTAATCTTGACTGGTGAAGGATGTGAAGGGGAGAGAGGAAGTTTTCAAATACATAAAAAGCTGTTGCAAAGAGGAAAGGAATAATCTGTTGCCATGGTAAATGGGATAGTGGATAATGAGCTTACACCACAGAAAGGGAGAAATTTAGGTCACTCATTAGGAAAAACAAGGCTGGTAAGAGTCGCAAAGCACTGGTACAGATCACGTGGGGTGGGCCAGGCTCCACACCTAGAGGTCTGTAAGGATAGAAGTGTAAGCAGATGTCAAAAATAACATAAGCAGAGTTGGTTCATTCAACTCCTCCTCCTGAGATCACCCCTAGAAGTCATTCTTTAACCACTACCCCATCATCCCAGCTGTGGGTGGACACCAAGAGGAAAAAAAGCTCCCCACCTGCACAGAGGAAAGGCTGTCTCCAGCTCCCTCTCTTATGTGACATGAGCACTAATCTGAAAGGACAAACAAGGGACCCCATGCACTACCTCTCTGCAAACACAGCAAGGGAACAAGACACCATTTTCACCTTTACTGCCTGAACTGGAGCACAAGCAAAATACATCAGGGCAACAGTGACTGTTACTCACTGACCCAAGGAAAGGGGCTGTTCCCCTTTCTTCACCAAGATCCTGGCAGGAGGCTGCTCTGTCAAGGTGGTAGTATCAGCTCACAGATCTGCAAACAGTGACTGCAGAGAGCAGAAGCAGATGGTCCCAGCTCTTTTTCATTGCCAGAAACACAGGCTGTTGCCAGCAGGCCCTGCTGAAGCCAGGGGGAGTAGGTGGTGGTTCGCCAGGGGCCTACCAAGAAGGAGGGTCCTCTTTCCAAAACATTTGCAGCAGGCCAGGAGCTCTGGGCCAGGGAGAGATGGCCAGGTGGCTGGGTAACACAGGACCATCCAGAAAGCAAGCACATACAGACAGACAGGATGAGCTGGACAGCACAGGGCAGGGGGCAGGGGGGCCAGGAAGAGGAATACAAGACAGACGTGGGAGGAACTGGTCAGCTTCATGTGGAGTCACAGGGAGCTCTCAACTACAGTCTCCCAACAGGACTGTGCCCCACTAGTAGCAACTGTGATCATCAGAGATGCAACACACCATGAGGAAGAAAGGCTTGAAACAGAGTAAGACCCAGTGGACAAACCAGAATGCTGAGGCTTTAACCTCAGCCTGGGAAGAGGTTAGCGCAGCCCAAAGGCACGACATCACACAAGGCAGGGGTAGCGTTCAGAGATGGAGGTTTAATTTTCTGTCAGCAACACAAAGAAGCAATTATCACAATTACAAATGTTTGCTCGCATAAGGCTCAGAACTTGGTGGGGGAAGGAAGCCAGCAACAGCTTCACCCCTCCCCAAAATACTACTAAGTGACATTAGTTCACAAGCCATATGAGATCCCAACCGATCAGGCTGTTATCCCACAGCGTGTTGCACTGGCACCAGATTTCACCTAGATCAAACTGATCAGTTACATGGAGTTGATTTGGATGTGCTAAAGATGCAGCTCTAAGTGCCTGAAGACCAGGCTGCTGTCAGTCAAACAAGAGCCAAGGCAGCTCATGCTGCCCCCACCCTCTTGGGGACACTGGCTTACCATATTGCAAGGGGTACTTCAAAAAGGTCAAAAGATGATTATCCCTGATTGAGCTACCACTCCCACCTTTATTAATCCCCAAGAGATGTGGGACAAGGCAAGCCATGAGCAGGGAAAGACACCGACTACACACTACAGCTTTGGTGACTTCATGTAAGTTTGGTTGTTCATGTGCTTCATTGGATTTTTGTGACGGCTTCATGAATGGACTTGGCCACATAGTCCAGGTTCTTGGTAGTCAGGCCACACATGTTGATGCGCCCACTAGCCATCAGGTAGATGTGTTTTTCCTTGATCATGTACTCCACCTGCTTAGCTGGGGAAACAATTGGACATCAAGTCAGAGCAGTAACCCCACAGCTCAGAAGAGCCCAAAGAACCAGTCAGGGCCATTTGAATCTTTCACAAGAAGCAGAAAACTTCAAGCACTGGCCACTAAAATGCTGTCTGATGCTTCACCTCTGCCTAGGCACAGAGACAGTGATGCCACGACTCCAGTGAGGTCCCCGAGAGATTCCTGCATAGACTGCTTCAGCCTAGTTCAGCCCCAGCAAAACTGTCCTCACCCAATCCTCCCTTCACCAGGCCACTTGGTACTTACGGTTCAACCCTGTGAAGCTAAACATGCCGATCTGCTCTGTGATGTGGTTCCAGGTGCCCGGGGTCCCAAGAGACTCCAATCGAGACCGGAGCTCTGACCGCATCAGCAAGACCCGATCTGCCATTGTCTTCACATTGTCCTTCCTGCAGCAGGCAGGAAGCAGAGCGTGAGGACAGGCACTTGTTTGGTTTGGAGCCATCTGGCTAAGCCTGGCACTCAGAGAGACAGCTTCCCCCCCTTTCTCTCTCCCACCAGCCCAGGCAACACATACCACTCAGCAAAGAGCTGTGGGGAAGAAAGTGTAGTTGCCACAATGCGTGCTCCCTGGGAGGGGGGGTTGGACCAAGTGGTGCGCACAATCTTCTCCATCTGGGAAAGCACACGCCGCACGTTGTCTGCATCCTTCCCCACCACAGTCAGGTTCCCCACACGTTCATCTGCGGACAAGCCAAGAGATGTGAGGCATTGGTACCAGACATGATGGCAAAGCAGAGCTCTCCCCACCCCCCAGTATGCCAGCCCCATCTGTCTGGGTATGATGCTACTGGGCCCGCTTACTGCCAGACACTCACTGTAGAGCCCAAAGTTCTTGGAAAACGACTGTGCACAGAAGAGCTCAAAGCCCTCGGAGACAAAGTATCGCACAGCCCAGGCATCCTTGTCCAGGCTGCCAGAGGCAAAACCTTGGTAGGCCGAGTCGAAGAACGGAAACAGGAACCGGCGCTGCAAGGAGGAACAGTGTTAGAGGGGAAACCCCTTCCCCACAACCTTCACTTTACCCCCCGCTGTCCCCATAGGAGCGAAGAATGACTGCGCACTTCCAGGTGAATACAAAGGAAATACGGTCCAGCAACACTAGACTGGGATATTTTCTTTCTACTGGGATAAAAGACTAGGAAGACTAAAGTGGTCAATAAAAGGTCAAACACAGAAGAAAACTGCATTTGAGGACAGAGGTACAAGAGATGTACCACCTCATATCCTACTGTCCAACATCTGTGAAAAGCAGGTGCCCATGGATAATCTTTCCAGCATGAGAAACCTCACAGCAGCCCACACCAGAGTTTGAAAGCAACAACTTGGAGACGTGAGCAGAACTGAGATGCTTCTATCCTCTGAGC